TTGTGTCATCAGAAGGAGTTCAAAACCTCAGGATATGATTAATGTTGTTCACTAAACGTGATTATAAGATTGAAAATCGAAAAAGCATATTTGTTTTTAACAAGTTTTCCAGAAACCCTTTCGGACAACCTCAGGATTTTGTAGAATTTCTTCCGAGTTCTACTATCAATAGAATATAGCACAGCCTAAATACTCTACATTCTGAAGTTTTGAACTTGTTCTGATGTTCTTTAAGTGAATAGTGAACTTTTTAATATTAGGTGAAAACAGCCTGAAAACCATAATTTTCGTAAAACTCACTTTTCGGCAGATTTTTGTAATTTTTCTAAAAACAAATATTGCCACTAGACTGAGCATGGTCGATTACGCATAGATCATCCGTCTTCAAGACTAGCAATTGTCACCAGGTGCCAGTCCTGGGCCGTGCAGGAAGTCCGATACAGCGCCCGAACCGCGGAAAATCAAGGGCTCGCTTGCCTCCCATTTTGAAGAGCACACTCCACGCTATCAGTTCGTGCATAAAAAATCAATACAACTTTATTGGAGAACCTTTACACACGCCCTAGTTTTCCAAAGATCTTCTCGAAAGCCTGTTTCAGAAAAACTCGTCTGAAAAACTTTTGATTATAAAAACATGTTCGCAAGTCTCTTCTTTCGAATGGCGAAAACAAGAGCTCTTTAGCTCTTTTCTTTCTATCAAAAGTTATTCAAAAGACAGCCATATACCATTCTTTTTTTGGATGGACAATACCTATTATAAGAAAAGGTTTTTAATAAATGTGATTCGTTTCCATGCTTTATTATACCTGTGTGGAGCCCGAGATGGATACCGTGATTGAATGAATCAATCATTAATTAATTACATGTCTGTACATAAAAATGGACTAGTGTTGCAACCAACGTGGAAATCAAAAGGTAAAACACGGATCACAAGGATGAGTCATAACGCTCTATCAACTTTTAGTTTGATTAAATTTGTTTTGATCTTCGAAGTCAGTGGTCTCTTGTTTTATGAAACTATATATCCGATCGAAGTCATGGCGAATCTAAGAAATTTTTTATCATGTGTGATATGCGTAAAGAAAAGTATTTCAGTTAGCTGTGTTGACGTAAACCGATTTTTATTCTTGAGTGTACATGAAGTGGTACTGCCCTTTTTCGCTCTCAGACGCAAAGCGGACAAAATGGTTTTAGCACAAGTTTTCTGCATTTGTAAAACCGTTTTCAAATTGCGTTAGGCAAATTACAAATAGGTAGTTGTCATTCTGTCTCTATGTAATGAGATGAAAAGGGAGACTAGGCCAATAAGTTTAGCCATCACCGCGAAACTAGCACAGATCAGAAAAAAAACAAAGTAACTCGCATAGTAGTTTTCTTCATTTTCGGAATATAAAACAAGATGAAAACCGGTTTCAGGAAAGTGAAAGACCATCTTGCTCTCACAGAGACCACCTATCATAAGAAACACAGACTACTACTATTTCGCTTACGTGTAAATAGGTTTTGACTTTGTTCAGTTCGATTCTGATGGAACAAGAAGAGACACTTAAAACCCAACTATTTACTAAACGGCTAGGATTACTTTATTTTGCATAGAGATCTCTCAATATCTGGTTATTTTATTCTTCAGATTGACGTTGTATTTACATTATAAATGATGCAAAAAGGTGCATCTACATCTCTCAATGAGTCGATCGACAACTGGAATCTGATGGATTCGTCTGGAATGGGTTCAAATTCAGTATGGTTACAGCAGAACGTAAGGTACAATGAAACAGTCGTGTACATTCTCATATATATCTTCGAAGCGTTTGTATTGCCTCAAATTATCACTCCATCAAACATAGTCTACAGCAAAAAGCGCACTGTTTGTTTTTTATTTGAGCAATTGCGCCTCGATCGTCTCATCCCATGAGCGCCACTGCAATAAACATAATTCGCCGGTGAGAATTTTTTGTTTTTAGTACCCGATCAATAGAAACTTTGTTGTTGTCAGTAGGAAAAACGACTATATTTAATATTAAAATAAAAAAATAGCTTTTCTGTATACTTTTTGTTATTCTTTTAGGAATGAACCACTAGTATCATTTGACACTTCTCATGAAACATTTAGTAATCAACACAATGATAAAGCTTTGAGAAAACGTAAATTCTTCTCAACTGAGCTAGAAGATAGGCAAGTGATTGTGTGACTCTATTTCAGGTTGAAATAATCATGTTTTTCTGTTTCTTTTTTTTTTGTAGACCGTCAAACAAAATCTTTGTGACGGAAGAGAAAATAGAAAAAGAACTTGAAACGATCCCATTAAAACTGTCGAATAACACTACTAGCGTAAACAATTCTCTGGCGGCACCGTTAACTGAAATGAACAATCAAAACGGACAGTAAGTTAATCTTATTTTTTCTTCGACCAATATTTACTAGTTTTTCTTTTAGATCGCCAATTATTAATGAATTAGGAGAAGATAATGATGAATTTAGTACTCAAACAGACTCGCCTGATCTTGCTAGAAAATCAGTTACGGTGATAGATGATGAAGATGATAATGATGAGCGAGCAACGGTAGATGATATACAACGATTAGAATTACATCAGTTTATCAAGGACAGTTGGAAAAAAAATGGGGGTTTTGTTAATACAGAAGAAACGAGTTTATTAAATCGATTATTTGAAATGGAAAGGTAAAATTCAAAATACCATTGCGCATTTAAAAGCATGATAAACTTTCTTTATCTTAGAAAAAAATTATCAATGCAATTGGTGCCATATATGCCTGTGATACCATCGAATGTGAAAAATAATAACGTAGCACAATCTAACACATCTGTTAATTTTGAAAAACAAGTTGTCGATGACAAGGATAATTCAACAACGATTATCAATAATGAACATCAATTAAATAATAACGAAAATATAGATCATAGTCATTTATTTAAAAAACCATTTTCTCTTAACCTACCACCATTACCTGATGTTTATACCGTCGAAGAACCGCCAGAAATTGACGAAATAATACAAGGAACAATGAAAAGGTAGCAATATTAGTTTCATACATCGGAAAAAAAAAGACAAATAGTCTCTATCAATCATCTATTTGATATTGATTGAGAAGGAACTATTATACGCTTTTGCAAAAACACTGGCTCGTATTTTTATCACAATTTCCTCTTCCTAGTATTATATATATTTTGCAGGAGTTATTCTCAATCGGCAAACGATAGTAATAATTTGTCAATTGTTGAGATTAAAGACGATATGCCGTCAAAATTATTTTGTAATACATCCACTAATGGTTATATAGGCCAAGAATCACAACCACTCCATTTTATTAGTGAGCCACCAACATTAAGGTAAAAACAAACATTTATCTTATTGTTTTTAAGTTAATATCCAGTAAAATATCTTTAACGTTTACTTGTTTTTCTTTTTATCAGACTTAATCAAACGGCATCATATTGTTCAATACCATTATTGTCATCGAATGGTTCATCTGTTAAAATAACAGAATTTTCTGATAAAAATGATGTTTCCTCTTCGTTTGACGATGATATGATGTCAGTTTCGTCCTCTGATAATGAAAAAATGGACGCGGACGCTATTATCGACATGGATTAAAAATTTTACACCATATATTTTCTATTCTGTAAGTCTGAATTCAAACATTAGCTCTATCTTCTTAACTATCGACATTGACTGTTTATTGTATCTCAGAATATAATACGATAACTGTGTGCATTTTGTGATGTAATATTTGCAAGATTGTTTATTCACTAGTTTTTGAATCACACATCAGCATTTTTACAGAGAATAGTCCAAATGAATATGTACTTTCTTAGGTTTGTAATCTGTGTCGAATTTTATACTTGTTATTTGATATTATGCCAATTATTTGTTTAAACCTCTATTTGTTGTACAAACTATTTTTCTTATATGCAATGTCTATATAGTAAATAAATCTAGTTTTTATCTCTTATTTTTTTTCTCCTCATTACGAAAAATTTACTGAGAATTGTTGTTTTTTTGTTTTATCTGAAAATATCTAATTTGTTTTTTAATAGATTATTCTTGCGTTCGATGACAGTGTAAGTGAATCTATTTTAAGTTTCATCCGTCCAGTTGATTGTTATACTAATAATTGACAAACCATGTCCGATAGTCAAAATGTTAGTGAATCTCATACATCTTCATCTCACACAAGAACAAGTGTAGCGACTACACATACACAATTCAATATAACCAGAGTTCGTGATTGTTTTGTCAATTGTATACAAGCAGATGGTTCATTATTAATTAATGAATATAAAAATGCCTATGAAGAATTATGCACGTAAGTACCACTGCTAGTGTTTAGGAAAATCCAAAAATTTCCTCTGAGCCACCCGTTACTATTGTGTACACGAACAGATGGTCCAAAGGAAATTGCCGGCTTTTGTCATGGTTTTTTCTCAAGTTAAACTTGCTCAAAAAGATTTATTGTACCAAATGATAGGAAACTTTGTGTAAATAAAATATATTCTTGGGTTCTTTCAAAATAAACATTTGCTCATTCTTTTGTAGCAATAAAAGTATTAGCAACCGCAAAGAGTTGTTTTACTCAGCACTTGATTAGTCTGAAATGCGATTTTAGCTCTTCGATAGTTTCATTACATGATCCGAAGACGGTATCAAAAAGTAGATTACATTTTAAGTTTTGTCACCACAAAACGGAGTTTTCAGACGGTGCTTTATGATACTCAAATACTCTCTTACCAACCGTTCTTGCTTTTCTCCATTCTCAAAGGCATTTTAACTCCCGTACTTGTTATCAGTTTCTGGAAAGAAAGACATTTGGTAGGGTTTAAAGTTGTACATTGATTGGTATATAAATAATTTGCTCCAGCCATACATTCGTGAAGAACTTCGGTAGTAATACTTTTTTTATTCGGCTTTTATTCGGATAATAGTAAAATATGAAGACACCCGAAGACACTCACAGACATCCACAGACAGCTACACAATCATCCGGGGACGTCTGTGCAGCTGTCTGTGGGTGCCTTCATGTTTTACTATTACCCTTTTTATTCATGTTTTGCCTTTTACAAATAGATGCAAACAGGTATGTAAGAGCAACTACACTACTAGATACACAGAACAATCCTCTCATTTTATCAATGAGAGGATTGTTCCAACCAAATCTTTGAGCTACACTTAACTAATTAAAAAATTACTTTGTAAATTTTCTGAGTGTGTGTTTGAGCAAATCAACTTTTTGCAACTTCTAGTACTTCTATTGTTACAAATAATGGGCAAATGTTTATTTTGAAAGAACGCAAGAATATATCTTATCTACATAAAATTTTTTATCTTATCTATAAATCTTTTTGAGCACGTTTAGCTTGAGAAAAAATCATGGCAAAAGCCGATAATTTCTTCTGGACGACCTGTTACAGCTTTGTTAATTTGTCATACGATTTTGCGAAATAATTTTCTTCTAATTATCTTTATTTCTTCATTCTTAGCTTTGTGTCATCACTTGGTGTTGTGTTTGATTTTGCCACAAAAGATTTACGTAATAAATTACTCATATTAGAGGAACATTTGAAGATAGATCCGACAAATTATGAAACAATTCAGAAAATGGTTGATTATGAAGTGAGAACAGGACGATGTAGAACAAAAGAACTGTTGACAAAAATGGAAGCTGGTAAACCATTACCCAATGGTTGTCGAACATTATTACGTTTACATCGTGCATTAGGATTTATAAAATTATTTTTGAGTGAAATGCGTCTGGCACCGACCGACGCGAGTAGTGCTAAAATAGCTTGGAATGCGTATACAAGCACATTGGGTCGTTATCATGCATGGATTATTCAACAGACAATACATGCTGCAATAAAATTAACTATACCTACTCGAGAACAATTAATAGAAAAAATGATTTGTAATCGAAGTGCGGAAGAATTAGATGCAATAGCTAGGGATTTGGTTGAAGCATGTAATAAAATTGAACAAACGACGCAAGATTTATATGAAAAAAACAATTTGTTAAATTTAACTTAGTCTCTATGTATATGCTTTTGTTCGATTTTTTTAAATCTATTATCGAGAAATATTTTCATTTCGATGAAACTGTTATTATTTCACAGGTTTAAATTATCTTTGTGTTTAAACGAGATATTATGTACTGACTGATTGACTGATAACTGTGTATAAATATAATATGGTTTTTGTGTTTTTTAGTTTTTTTTCTTCTTATGTTATGTATTATAACAATAGTACAAAGAAGAATTTAATAAAATTATTGAGTACAATGATCGACAGCGTATATCGACTGCACCTGTGAAATTGAATGAAACATTCTAAAAGACGGCTAGTTCTAATGACAGTGTGGTGTGCGTCTGATTGCATATAAGTAAGTTTCGACTTATTGTTTTATTGATCTGATGGTATGATATAGATTACGCGCAAGTTTATTTAGAAATCATCAGAAGTTTAACTGTTTTTATATACTTCAATGTGTAATTGATTTGAGATCATGTATTCATTACACTTTGAAGAGTTAAGATAGATTCTTTACTCTAATAATTTGCCTAAGAAGGACAACTGTTGCGTACCCCTTCTTGAGAGATAAAAATATGAGATAAGGTGGTTGAAGAATCGTTAAAACAAAGCCGTTTTATTATACCTAGGGCATACCAAAAGTACCGGCAGTGACACTTTAATACCGTATAGTAGACTTAAAGTAACTTTCGTCTATATAATCTGATAGAGAAAAAAAAGCTCTGTCTTTCTATGCTATTTGATCGTACTTCAACTAATATCATAATATTAAATTATCTTTAAAACCTATTTCGGCTGGTTATGTGCTGGTTGTATTCATACTAATTTTGAAGGAATACGAGTGAATATTTTTTGAATAACTTTTGATAGAAACAAGATAAAGAGCTGCGGTTTTCACTGTTGGAAAGAAGAGATGAAGACGCATCGAATCATATAGTATAGGTTTTCTTGATATGTTTCTTGTAAGCTTTTCAATTGGCCTGTTTAAGAACAAACATATTTGATAAGTTGTTTAGAGTGAATTTTCAATTATCAAGTGTAAATTCAACCCACTAATCGAAGATCTACAAAGTGCGAAAGGTTGAGATGAATAATATGCATTTTAGTCGAGCTTTCAATAGAATTTTTTAGCAAAATCTGTGAAAAAAGCTCACTTTTGTGCTTTTTCCTTATTCAATAAAAAAAAACATTTTTCCGACACTTAGAAAATTGAACAAAAATACTTCAGAAATCAATATTAGAAAAGCCTATAATATATGATTCGACGCATCTTCATTTCCTCTTTCCAACGGTGAACACCGCAGCTCTCTATCTTGTTTTTACCAAAAGTTATTCAAAAAATACTCACTAGCATTCATGGAACCGTGACACATGCGAACAAAACAGATCTTATCAAAATTTTATTATTCTTATATTAGTTGAAGTAGGATCAAACAGCATAGAAAAATCGAGCATTCTTTTCTTTATCAGACTGCATAGAAAGAAAATTTCTTGAAGCTTAGTTTACAGTATTAAAGTGTCACTGCCGTACTTTTGGTATGCCCTAAGTAACATTCAGTGATATAACATATAGACATTGACTGAATTATGCTGAACATTATGAAATGTTTCCGTTTTTCTCATAATTCTCAGATTTCCAGACATATCGAGACCACTGACGGATTTGCAATTTTGAAGTGCAATTTTAGGAGAACTACTTTGAGAGAAACAAAACTATTATGTTATAATTACTCGCCTCTAATTTCAGCATTTACTTCTGTTTACTAAAACATTCTGAACATTCTGAACACTGACGTATATGAGTTTATGATAAAGAAACATAGATCATTCTGCAGCTCGGCTTGGGCAAACGTAACGGAATGACGCTTTTTTCATACTGATTGTAACTTTTCTTTGAGTAAAATAGATAATGACTTGATTCTTGCATCATTTTGCGTGTTTCTACCTTTCATATCTACGATAAAAATGCCAACTCATGAATGCGCAGAGAAAGTAGAATGCGTTGCGGATTGATATTTTTTGAGATTGAGATTTTGGGGCTGTTTCTTTCTCTACTTTTCTCTGCAAATGTTCTACCTTTTTCAAAAAACGAAGACATATAATATGTAGAAGACACTTTGAGCTATCTGTTGCTAAAAAAAATGTATGAAAAGATTATATTTTTACGGAGAAAAGTTTATTTTTCTTCGTAATGGGATGGGAGTGTTTTTTATGATAGTTTTTTTCAATTACGAAAGCGATGGAACCTTTCTAATTTGAGCAGATCTCTATAATATCCTACAGAATCATTCAGATATCGGGGAAAAAAGCTAAAAGAATATTTTTACATCCTCTTAAAAGAATTTACAAAGACTTGTTTTAGAAAAATTTGTTTTGCATGTAAAGCAATGTTCTGAACGGTATACATTCCAAAAAGTAATGCACTTTGTAGAGAATTCAATTCTTTATCCAATGGGCTTGTTTTCAAAATTTTAATTCGAAATAAGTAGATCAGAAATTTCAAATTAAAAAATTTTATAACTATAAATTTAATTTTTATCATTTAAAATCCAATTTTTATTCAATTTAAAGTCGATATTCGATCAGAGAAAAAAGTTGTTGAAGACTTCAACACTGAAGAGGACCGTTATGTGTCCAAGCTAAGCTGTAGAAATTCAAAAAACAATAAATATGTGCTCCATAGTATTTTTCAGAGTGAACCAAAAATTATATCTTATCTATATAGAAATGTAAATGATTAAATTCTGTACAAAAAGTTTCTTGGGTTTTATTAAACTACACATAGTTTTATACCATATATTCTTGCGAACAAAGCAAACGTATTTTATTTTTAGAGTCATCCCGTATTTTTAGCATTATGATCAAAATATTCTTGTTTGTAGAGTGAAGCGGGATGCAATTGTTTTTCTGCTTTAAAATGATAACGTATCTGGCTAATTATTCGCTCAAAGGAGTCCGATATTACAGGTTTTCTGAGCAATCGAAAAAACGAATTTTCCTACAAAATCTCGGCATGTCAATTCTCCGCTACCGACTTTCTTCATCTCTCGCATTTCTTCGGTAAGAAACCGCACATTTCACTGTTATCCGATGTGGTGATAAACGGTTTTTTCTTTGACTGTTGTCTATATATGAACTCTCTATGTTAGTGTTTTTAAAGGTCATAAAATTAACAAACTCATGGATAAAAAAAAAGCATAAAAATATGCAAGAAAAAATGAATCATTAAAACACTGAAATAAGTGAGTGACTAATGCTCCATATAAAAAAAAAAAACTCTATTTCCGTGAGAGAAGCTTTTTATTATATGATGTGTCGTCCGTGTACACAACAATTACAAAAAGGTATTTAAAAACATAAAACACTCATATGTTAAGTCGTGATACTGAAACAAAAAAAAAAAAAAGAAATTTTATTATAAAAAAAGAAGAAGTATACTATAATTGTGTATGGTAACTCCTTGTTTATTACAGTTAAAAAGACCGATAGAAAGAGAGAGAGAGAGAGAGAGAGAGAGAGTGAGAGAAAACTAAAATATTTTATTCAAAGACAACGATAGTAACTTTTCTCCTTGAACAAACGACAATTCATAATTTTTTTGCTCTCTCTTTCCGTTTTGAATGCAAAATAGTCTAGAAAATAGAGTTTTTATAATGGAGAGATAAAAGGCAGCTCCTTCGTGTTTTTCTTGTTGGTACACTTACGAAGGTAATCTCCTGTAGATGATATTTTTCAGTCCGGATCTCACCTAAAATGATGGAAAAAAAAATCTTTTTTTTCTAGAATTTCTTTACATTGGTGTTCAAGCCATTGATATATAAAACATTTTTTCTTCTTATTCGGATAATTTTAATATAGTGAAAAATGCTTCAATAAGGTAATAAAGGAGTTATACAAAAATAAATAAGGATTGTATTAAACTGCATCTTATTCAAAACCAGAGTGACGATTTTCTTTAATATCATCATTGAAAATGAGTATTCTCAGGCTGAAGAATCCTACTAGGATTGAATTCTATGAAAATTCTAGTATCACAAATCATGTAGAATTTTAATGATAGAATCTTACTAAATATTATAATATCCTGTTATAAAAATTGTAAACAAATTTCGATATTAGAATTGTCTAGCATCGCCTACATTGTAGAATTTCACGAAATCCGATAGTATAACTCATCCACTCAGGCCGTTGTTCATTCTTGGACTGCTTTTTATCACGGATTGTACAGCTTCTTATTTGGCGTCTGTAGTAATTTGGTATCCTCTTACTTTCTCTTCGGACTAAAACATCGACAAACGTACTTTGATTCAAAAAACTTCTCTTACAGTTTTTGTTAACTTGTGTTTTAATCAAACTATTTTCTGTCAATTTACTTTCTTTTATTCGTCAAATGTTTCTAAGTGATCTGCTTTGATATTTTAATGAAAATATTCTTTCGTTTAAGACACTAGTATTAAACAAAAAGAAAAGAAAAATATCGATCACTGACTGGCGTTGATCAAATTTTATTATGTTTTGTTTATTTTATTTTCAAGTGGTCAATTAGAAAGAGAATAAAAATAGTTTTTGGTACAATCGCATAAGTTAGAATAATAATATTACCTTCAAATATTACATGAAAAAATGGCTGTCGAGCCAGTTATACAACAAAAATTTGAACGAAATTTAAAATGGAAAAAAAGTTGGCCGAGATGTTTCTTCGGTATGGTAGCTACGATCGAAATTATTTTGGGATTAGCGATTTTTATCACAGAAATTTTAAATATTATTGTGGAATTCTGGTATATGAATGTTTTTGGAGGAATTTGGGGCTCAATTATTTTGTTTATTAATTGGATTACAATATATACGACAGGTAATTTATTTGTTTGCACTTCTTTACTTTCCCAAGCATTTTTCCGAGCAGTTCTCACGGATTATTTATCAAATGAGAAAAATAGTTAACTTTCGATAAACACCTTATCATGTTATTGAATCACATTTTTCGATTAATCATCTCTCATTTTCATTTCTAGTCTGTTGTTCACCAACTATTGGTGCATCAACATGTTCATTAGTCTGGAATATTTTAACAATTATTGCTATGGGTGCTCTGGTTGGCTTCGATATTAGTTTTATTTTAAATCCATCTACATGTCTTTTAACGCCTACATGTACAACACAGTCAGAAATAATTAACCTTCAGTTTATCATGACTAATATAGCACCATTTAAGAATTATACATTTTATGATTCAAAAAAGCTTTTCTTGGAAATACAAGTGGGTTGCGCTGGTCTGGCGCTTCTTTTATCCATTATCTATGTCATTATTTACATTGTCTGCAAAAACAAACTTAAAAATCAAACGACTAGTACCAGTGATCGTGTAATACAAAATGGTCATATCGATTATCCAGCTCCGCAACCGATTCACAGATCACCACAAGCTTATCCTCCGCCTCAAATCTCATTTATTCCTAATCAAAGTCCTTATGCACCTCCATATTAAAAACAAATGACATCTGTGATCAATGACATGAAAAGGTCTATGTTGTCTAAAGTATACATTTTTTATTGTTGTCAGTTAAATATATTGATTTTGATGTATTTGTAATCAAAAAAAGAGCACCTTCAACTTGTAAATATCGACTTTCTGCACTATATACCATTTGAAAATTGAAAGTAAAATAATAGATATTGTCATATTTTATGTTAAGATGTCAATCTTTCAATATTGGACGAAAGAGAGTGTGACTCCTTAGCTGTTTTCATTTAACTACGGTCTACATCTTTGAATTTCTTGTACAGACAGTATAACCCTTTGAGTCCCATAGTAGCAAAAATGCTACACATGTTTTATAATTATTTTTCACAACATAATTTATAAGAATTAGTACGTAATCTCTTAGAAAGAAACAATGTAAAATCAGCCAATTAATACCTGCGTAAGCGTGTGAGGTATTTGTGTCATGTGTGTTTCTGTGCCTAAAATAAGTTCATATAACGGTCTGCTTTCAATTCAATCCAGCAAAAATAATTTGGAACTCAAAGAGATAATGACAACTATGGTTCTCAACCTACCAACACAAAATTAATTCTAAATAGATATGAAAAACTTGATCTAACAAATTAGTAGTATTTCGATAAGCAGCAACTTGAGATTTTTTATAGACTATACACCACTTGAATATGTTTATTTTTCTGTTAAAATAATTATTTAGAAAAGTCTAACACTAACAATGAGAAATTTAGAAGAACTATTTACTATACACTATATTTTGTTCGCTCAACCTAATAATGTACTTAGATCATTAAAACGGAATTTCTCACTTCGGAAATTTTTTTAATTTTCGATAAAAATAGCTGTTTCACTTAATATAGGTTTTTAGTAGATTATTGAACTTTGGCCTGAAAAGACACACATTACCACAAGACAGTATTATCAATAACTTATGTTTGAAGTTATTGTTACTAGGTTATAAAACATACAGAGTTAGCTAGATCTCCGTAAAACCTTTGTCGCTCGAGGATGACGACAGCCAGAGATCTCAGACTTGCGTAGTTTGTTGAGGACACTTTGGGCTATTTATTATGCATTTAAAAACTAATCTACAGTTTCTTAAACTTTTCGGGTGTTTGGTTATTATACGGTAGATGGCGCGAGAAATGGCGTGCCACAATAGAACAACTTTAGTACTACTTATATGCACTAAAATCTTTTTCCATATCTGTGCTGATAAAGAAATTATTGTACAGTCACTAACAAAGGACACGGTACGATAAGAAAAGTTTTGAATGTTTCCAAACGGATTATACGGTTCGATAGAGCTCGTCGAAATAGCAAAAATTGATATCCGTTGAGAGAAATTTTTTTTCCGAAAGAAAGAAAGTGTTTCTAATGCTCATTTACATATTGTTAGATGCATCAACAAATTCTCTCTCGAATGCACTACCGATCCCATCTAACAGTTCATTTTGAAAAAGAAATTTCTAATGTTACTTCAGGTAACAAATGATTTTGCAGAACGGATGATCTCAAAAAAATTAATTTCCACTCATAACAACATCGTGATACAATAAGATATTTTGTAGAAAACTGCCAGGAGGCTAGATGAACAAAACTATTGAAAAGCAGTCTCAAAAAATTTGGGCCTGTCACAGAAGTGTTCAAAGGAGCGTGATAATGAAAATCTTTTGATAAATCTTAAATTCCGGTATTTTCAATTTTTCACGCTTTTTGGTCACTCGCCTTTGACATCTGAGACCATATTTGTGATTGCCAGATCGAAATCTATCAGAAAATATGATCGGTAATCATACTGGATCCATAATTCATGGTGTGGTGATAGCTGACCCCAAAAGGGTCAATTTTGCTTGTCGTCGGTACTTTTTATTTCAATGATGGTTCCAAAACACTTTTTCAAGTATCCAGGACTGTAGAGCTCGTCTTCCTCTACAAAATCGGCCACAAACACTTTTCTATGTATTCCTTTCCGCTGCTGAAAAAATTCCTGTTATTTCAATCAGAGGTGAAAAAGTTAAAATTTTGCTCGTAATTCTCAATTTTCTCTATCCGAAATCAACTTTAATGCAGTAGAAATATCATATTCTGAATCAGTATAAGAAAATGAATCGACTCATGTGCATTTCGACATTTTTAGTTGATTTTCATTTTTCGGTGAAAATCCCGGTAATTTCTCAAAGTGAAAAGTCAAAAAATTAAAGTACTCGGAGAGGCCTTGACGAGCTCTATCGAATCGTATAATCCGTTTGGAAACATTCAAAATTTTTCTTATCGTACGGTGTCCCTCCCTATAGATCAGGATAGAGATTGTCTCGTTAAAAACATTTTAAACAGTTGCTACTACGAAAATACCAACCAGATCTCGCAATAGGAATCCTACTAAATCCTGTATAGGAGTTCATAGTGTTCATATTGTAGGCTTATATAGAATTCTGATGATAGAATCCTATAAGAAATATCACACAAATCCACAATAGGAATTATATGAGTTTCCGTGCTAGGGCTCCAGGGAACCATACGAGAGATATTGATCTAACGACCAAGGAAAAAACAGTGCTTCCTTTCGTGATTCTTAGACGTTTTTGATGGGTAGCATCACTTTGCATTAAATACATTGCAAAAGAATCACAATCAATAATTACCCATTCAAACTAAATTTGAGGTGGAAACATTCTAAATGCACTTAGACTACACTTAGACTACAGTAGTGATTTGATTAAATGCAGATCTCTGCATGTAATCAAATCACTAGTGTAATCTAAGTGCATTTAGAATGTTTCCACCTCAAATTTATTTTGAATGGGTAATTATTGATTGTGATTCTTTTGCAATGTATTTAATGCAAAGTGATGCTGCCGATCAAAAACGTCTAAGGTCTAGCAACAGCATCCCTTGGCCGTTAGATCATATCCTACCATTTTCTATATTTCGTAGGATCTTGATGGATTGTATAACTTGGAGTTATTTTTTAATCCAGTTTAACGAAAAGCAGACTCACATGCGTACTGGTTGGAAGAACACCTAACTAGTACCCTAGTACCACGGTTTTCTCGACTACTTAGCGAAAAAATTTTCCATACAGTAATTTGTTGTTAAAATAGATTCTGCAAAAAAAGATAAAAATTTAGTAGAAAAAAAAGCAGAAATGTGACAGAAAAAAAAGTCCAAAAATCAAAAGGTCTGTAATTTCTGAGCATGATCTTTATGATCTGTTTATAGAACTGACGTCAATATTTTTCCTCTGTTCTTTTACTATTTATTCTAGATCTCTAATCGACGGTTGAATCCGTATGATGTCAGAAAAGTTAGACCAATCGTATTTACTTGAGAAATTTTTTTTGTTTTTTTAATAAAAAATTTTTTTGGTATTTATTTTTTAGAAAGAAGAAAAAAAAGTTTTATTTATTTTAGCAGTTGATTAACTGCAGAATGTAATACATTTTCTATGTGAAATACAAGTATACATTACAAGAAAAGAAGCATATAATGTAACTGTACATCTGAAGATTAGTCATCTGCTTTTTTTCTTTCTAGCAGACCATGATTTCTTTGTGTACTATAGAGAAAAAAATCTATGATGCTTGACGATAAAGACAAAACACAACTTACTATAAACTACATATAGTACTGAACATTATTACGTTCTTTTCTCGTTTTATTCCGAACGTGAGTATATATATACAACGACTATGATTGATACCACACAACGTCACTGATAAGAAGAAATAATGATATATTAACTTGTTCAATGACTTGGGAATATTTGGTTTCTGATTATATTTAGTACTAAACACACTGTTTTGAAAACACTGACATGAGTAACGTAACATTGAAGGAAACAAAACAGAAAATATGTTTGTAGTTTAATTATCTAATATTTAAACAATACCGATCGTATTTCAGCGTTCTTTTTTGTTGAATACACACATCTTTAAACAACGTATTGGCATTTGTATTAAACATTAATAATTGTTACCACTATATATTACATATTGACAATAAGATGTTCACTTTAAAAACGAATCTTATTTCATAGAAAATACAATATCTTTGAGAGAAAAGAGAGTATATTTGAAAGTTTATTGTTCCTCTATATATTTTTATAGAAAAATACTGCGCTCTTCAAAATTAGTATATTCTGTTTATTTCTTTTCTTTTCATATAACTTTAACCTTACGCTGAAAAAAAGAAATGAGATCAATAAAACACGATTTTGAAGTGCGCAGTGAATCGTTACACTATTTGATTGTATGCAAAAAGAATAACCTGTAGGAAATATAAAATGTACTTAAGCTTTTTGATTTTTACCTTCCTGATCAATATTTATAAATGATTTTATTAATCTATATTATTCTCCAAGAAAAGTACTATCTTTGCTTGTCCACCACATTATTCTTAGTAAATTCTCTACGTTTTCCGAGAATTTGATTTTCAAAAGTATTTTTTGCACATTATTGAAAATCTCATAAAACTGTTAGATAACAGAAAGATATGGTAATATGATTTTTTTTTTGTGATGTATGCTAAGAGTATGTAAGTCATAAAAATCATATATATCCTACATATATCCTATCGTAAAACTGTCTTCTCATTATTTGCAGCATTATATTTATGTCAAAACTAACCACACATTTTCTTTTGGAAATATGTGACATCGACAACCTTCACCTGATGCATTTTTTTCTTTACTCCTTGTTTATTTTATAGATTTTATTATTTCTGAACCACGATAGACAATTAAAATATGAATGAATTAAAAATGATACTTTTCAATGTTTCATTAAAAGAATTAATGAACACGAAATTTAAATAACATGAGAACAAGTGAAAATAAATATAGAATGTATCGTCGATCAGTAACGTCTCAACATTATCAATATAATGCAAATGTTCCATTCCATCTATAATGATGGTATATCACATTTAATAGTTGTAACGGCACTTGTATGTGGCCTTGAATTTTGTACATCAGCGGCATTCTCTTTCATTCCTCCATTGCTCTTAAAATCGGGCGTACCAGATTCACTCACAACAACATTGATGGGCTGCGGTCCACTCATGGGTTTCGTATTTTGTCCAGTTATTGGTCATGCAAGTGATCGCTGTCGTTCACGTTTTGGTCGACGACGTCCGTTTATACTTGGATTTTGTTTAACAATAATATCCTGTTTGATCCTTATACCACAAAGTGAATCAGTTGGTAAACTCTAGAGAAAATAAAAACAGAAATATGTGTTACTATCTGTGAATGTATGTTCCTCTTTTTCAGGTCAATTATTAAATTCTCCAAGAACTGGTTTATTATTATTGATAACAACCTGTGTGCTGTTCGATTTTGCATCGCAAGCTTGTTTCAATCCATGTGAAAGTTTAATATATGATATGTGCAAATCAACTCCACAAGAAGCATCCTGTTTTTTTGTTTATTCATTTATGACGTCGTTCGGTGTGTTTAAAAATTCAACTAAAAATTATTACAATTGTCCATAAAACTTGTTTGTATAAGTCTAGAGGTCTAAATGTCAAACTATTCCGATTAAAAGGTGATAGAGACATGTAATATCTACGCTTTGATGGTCTAATATAGTAATTTTAACATGTTTAAAAATTAAAAATACTTTGATTGTCAGTTGAAGAAGATAAATTTGATGAAATTTATTTGATGATCAGTAGAAGTGCCGGCCATTTCTAGACCTTGAAATATTATCCAATTCTAATTTTTTTAGGCGGATGTTTGGGATATATGATAACTGCTTATGATTGGTCTCAATCATGGTTAAGCCATTATTTGCACGGACAAGAAAAGTTAACGTTTATTGTAATATTATTACTTTTTACGCTTACACTTTGCTGTACACTAATGACAGCAAATGAAAAAGCATTAAATGAAGATGTTGCCGTCGAACCGCTATTAATAACCAATGAACAAGAACAATTAACGTCAACGTCTTCATCAGATAACATAAAGTGGTATTTAAACACTAACTTTTTGCCATTTAAAGTAGTTACATGGAGCGTAAATTTTTTCGTGCAAGCAATTATTTATCTTGTTTTATCCATTATCAGTTCCATGAGAACGATTATGACGATGCCATATGTATTAAGGAGATTAGCGTTAGCTGATTGTCTCTCATGGTGAGTTGGCTTTATTAGCATGTACTACCTACGCATGTACCTTCATCTAAAGACTACAAAAAACTGTAAAAACCTGTAAAGTGATGTTGTCCTAGAATGAGTCTCTCTCTGTTCAGAAAACCAAATCGAATTATCGTCATATTGTTTTTTTTCTGACTAAGTTACAACGTAAATCTTCAGCATTTCCACCATAAATTTCGTGTCTTCAACCGTCTTCGTCAACATCAAATAAAGAGTATCCGCGCCGGAAAATAAAGAGTATCCGCTACAGATGATCGGAGATTTTAATTCAAAAATATTTTAACAGAATTTTCTTCTTGTTTCTAGGGCAGCAATAATGACATTTAATTTATTTTTTACAGATTTCGTTGGTCAAACAGTATATGGTGGAGATCCAAGTGCTCCAGAATTCTCAAATGAACGCCTGTTATACGATGCAGGTGTACGCGCAGGATCTTATGGATTGTTATTTCATTGTATCGTTGGTGCTTTGTATGCACCTGCTTTAAAACCGCTTATTTATCAATTCGGTATTCGATTAACATTCTCATTTGGAATGTTCGTGTTCGTCGTATCAATGTTCGTTATGTATATGTCCAGAAATATTGCTGTTGTTAATGCAATGGCGTCATTATCTGGACTAGGAATGGCCTCCTTAACGTCAATACCGTATACCCTTGTGATGATGTATCATTCTAACAAAGAGGTATGCATTATGGCTGATAATGTTGAGAACAGTACATTTAATTAAACAATACTTTTTAAATATTCTACTCTCTAAAAAAGCTAAGCAATCCGAACGGTTCTTTATTCTTGTTTCTAAACCCAAAAGGATATAGTAACACATTTGAGAAACCATTTCTGAGTTTTGTATCGTTACTAAACCGTTTAAAGTTTTTTAAAGTACTTTTCCAAAAAGTATTTTAAGAAATAAAAGTTTTTTTATCAATGTCATAAAAACCTAAAGATATTCTATTTCGTTAATAAACCCAAAAGGTTGACATATAAACCCTTTTACAGTTTTAAAAAATCAAAACGGTTCCGTAACGATACTACACCCTTCTGGACTTCGAAGCAAGAATAAAGAGCCTTTCGGGTTTTGAAAACTACCTATTTTTTTAGAGAGCACATTAACTGGTGAAATAGCCCAATCATGGTTCGTGACTGTTCATAGCAATCATTCAGCATATCACATTAGTGTCAACTTGAATAGTTCTCTTTTTCTGTTCTACATTTTAACTCTTTATTGACCTATTGGCCTGCTTTTCTTTGTAATTTGCCAGACTGAAGAGCCATAAGAGATAGAAATCCTTTTGTGAAGTCTACCTTACAACCGATGAAGCAAAATCCTTTCCTACTTCTCATTTTACTGCACATAAGGAAGCTAGTATTGTTGTTTCAGAGAAAGCTCCCTTAGCTCAATTTTTCTTCCATTATTACATCCATTCATTTCCTTTCTCTATATAAGAACAGAACCGTTAAATGCCCAAATTATAAGCACGCAGAATATTATTTAAATAGGAGAAACCATCCTCTAAAAAATAGATATTTCGTGCAACTGAAATTTAAAAAGGGTTTAGTAAAGGTGAAAAACCCGTTATTAAACCCTAAAGAGGGTTCCGTATATTTGCAGTTTCCCGAACCATTTTTAGGTTTTGTAAAATGCCTATCTTTTCTAGAGAGTATAATATTTTTTTTTTAGACATATTTTGCCGATAGTATAACAATCCAGAATAGTGGCATTGGAGCGGTTTTAGGTATTATCGATAGTACCTATTTTGCATCACAAATAATCTCATCTGTACTAATGGGTTACATTATGCTTATTTTTAAATCAACACTGGCCTATATTGGAACAAGTTTCTTCTTGGGAATTTTGGCAATCTACTTTATTAATCGAATTATCATCAAACTACCAAACGGACCTAAAAACTCGATATTACAAATAAATACTCGATCCTGATAATATTTCATTGATCATGTCTAGCGGTCGTCCTCATAAAGTGATCATTGGGTAAGTATATGCTATCCATATCATTGATGATGAATTAAAATAAGAAGGATTCTCAAATGCTGTGATAAAAGAAAGACAATAAGACGGCATCTTCAATTTTTTTCCACTAAAAAATCTGTCTTAATTTATTTTGCAATTATTATTTAATTTTATACTATCTATTTGTTGACGAGTGCACTTTTTATTTTTTTACTTTAATACAAGCGAATAATAGAAGAAAAGCAGTAAATTTATTCTGTTAACAAGCTTAGTTTGAGATGTACTTTAACGAAGAACAAATCATTTTAAGGCCACAAAATAAGATCGGTAAGGTGCCGGAAATTCAAAGTTCGAGCAAGATTTTTTTCCGTTTATTTATACATCGTTGGATAAACTGCATCGAGCTGAGTAAGAAAAAGCGGCTTTTAATTTTTAAAAATTTTTTACAGAAGAAAAATTGAAAAAATTGAGAAGAAAAAAAATTGAGGGGTCTAAAACTTCGTATAACGCTTCAGTTTCAAAAAATTCACATTTTTTTCTGTTTCGTTCTTTTAACTTCTTGAAAGTATTTTTTTCAGATTCATTATTAAAAACCAAGTATGAGAATGATGTTTGATCGAGGTTGTAGTCATAACTACAACCTCGATCGAACATCGTTCTCATAGTTGGTTTTTAATAATGAATGTGAAAATA